AGAATTAGAAGCTACAAGAAAAGTGATTAAAGTGGATACACCAGCGCAATATACAAAGTCTTCAATTATTTGGAATTAAAATTTGTTTTTTGTAAAGTTTATTAGACACAGTACGTAATATACGTACATATATGTATATATATAGATATATATATCTGTGTTGGATATTATATTTCAGTATTTATGCTTGAATTACTTTTTGAAATATTAATGGATAAATGTTGAAGTTTTATACATGTTAACCTATTCAAATTAAATAAAGTCACAAATTTAAAGAAAAAAGTTTTTTTTTTTTTTTTAATGTTATAAAGATTGATTTAAGAGTCCGTTAGATATATACAAACTACTTTAATGATATAGTTGACAATAGCAATTGTTCTCCGCTATACTTAAAAAAAGAAAAAAAAAAGAAAAGAATGATATGTATATCAATAATGCCTAAATAAAAAAAATATAAAGATAAATGAAAGAAGGAATAGAACAACTAGTATATCTACAAGTTTTACAAAAAAATATATATACAATTAAATTGTGATATGAAACAAGAGAAATATACAAATATAAAAAGAATTGGTACAGACAAGAAAAGCAATACAATTGTCCAAACTAAGCTAAATAAAGAAAAGAGAAAAAGAGATGTTTGTATATAAAGTGCTTTTGAAAGCATGTGTTGTGACCAAGTTTACGATAATTTTTTTTTTCTAACCCTCCTTAAGCAATAGCTATTTACAAATAAAGTTCAACTTATAATTGCTTTATCCTATCTATTCATTTTTTTCAGAAATCCCGCGATATCAACAGTTGTTCTACTCAATTTCCAAGCAGAAATTAAACCTATTATAACATTACCAGTAACGAACAACACGATATCGACAGCCAACAAATTGAAATTCACGATTACCCATAATAAAACTTCGAGGCCAGGCGTTACAAGTTGAATCTTTTCGCAGAGGACGGGCACCATCGTCTTGAGATAATTGTTGCAAAGCAACAGTAGCATTAATTGCTTCATAAAGATCACTTTCTGTCAAAGGTGATGGAGGCTGATTAGTGTATGTGGGATGTATAGTCGGAGGAGGATAAGGGTTATAAAAGTTAGTCACGGGAGCGGGTTCAATAACAGAAGGTGTAAAGGTAGGAGAAATAGAACAAGAACGAGGTGAATGAATAAGTTCACGGTGAGTTTTTTGCATAGATGAATCAACAGGAGAAAATTGATGCTGATCATGGTGTTGAGAAGCACTAGAGTAGGCGGAGTCCGAGCCACGACGATTAATTACCAAAGGAGCGAGACCATCATCAGAGGAAGAATCTTCATCGTCACCAAGACTACCATTTT